TTTTTGACATGTTTTTGACTATTTTTGACATGTGACCAGCACCAGATGTCCCGTCAGCACGCCGCTCTCCACGCTGACTGAACCCTGCGTCGTTCTCTGCTCGATGAAGTGAGCGACTGGTTCGAATCACATTAACCATTTATCTTCCTCTGTCCCATTGTTTGTACAGAGCAGCTCATCAAACCACGGCAACAATTTTATTTTCACTTCATCAGCAATTGACACAACTGTATTTCAGTGACTGTTACACTGCCGCGACTACAACAGGAGACGAGCAGCAGTGCATCATCACAGTCGACTCAGGAGAAGAAAACGTACGGCTGACACTTCACCGTGACTAACGGCCAACTGTGAAGGAACTCAAACAGCTGCTGCGTTAATTCATGGTTTCCGCCCTGACACTGTTCTATGGTGGATTTGGTTGTAGTTGCCATTTGGCCATTTGTCATTCAGTTGGCGTTGCGGTCCAGGTGCAAAAGTCTTAGGCGGGTGTACATGTTGACAAACTCAACCAACTTTTGTTTTCTTAGTACTTCAAGCTAAATTGTTTGAATAAATTCAAAGGAACTGATTAGTCATCACATGCTAGGTTTGTAGCTAACTGGCAACGTGGAATTCTGGACAAATTGCTAATTCTCTCTCCTCACGCAGCTGATTCAATGTGCCTTAAAAACTGAAGTGACGTGTTTCCACATCAGGTGGCGTTGAATGTTACAGTCCGTTCTTTTGCTAATGAGTCTGTTTTAAACCTGTAGGCTAACATGCTAAAACGTATTCCATGTTGTAATTTGACTGATTTGTAACAGGGAGAAAGAACAGGCTGTGGTTTTGAATCCTTCTTCTGGTTCAGTGGGTTTAATATTGTGTCCACAGGGAGTTTTATAAAATCACAAGTCAAAATAAAAATATTAATGATTTCCATTTCCTCCAGAGTGCAGACGGCTCACCCTGGAAGGTTAGTGCTGACGCAGCAGCCCTGATGAATTCCTCTCTGCTGAATTATGGAGGGAAATTACACAGTGTGTTCATTGTGGCCATAAAACCACTGGCCCTGGTAATGAACCTGTTGATCACAAACACTGTCCTCTGAGGATAAAACCCTTCACTACTGAGACGGAGTCCTGGCCTAGATACTGACTAATGATCCCATCATGCATCATTCAGGGTCAGGAGTATGTTCACACACTTAGCTGCCACAACAAAATTTCTTCTTTATAATAAACACTGACAGTAATTCATATCAGTGCTAATGCAACTGTCATTCATATTTAAAGCTCAGTATTTAATGAGAAATAACAGTTTGGTGACTGAGTGGCAGTTATGCTGACATTTTCATTTTCACATTTGTTTAAAATAAATGAAACATTTGCTCAAACAGCTGCTCTGTCTGATTATAGAACAGAATTGACAGACAGTGATGATCTGAACAATGACATCACTTCACAGCTTTGCTTATAAAATACAGTGTCAACGCAGCCTATCAACAACCTTCACCAGGTTTAACATTAAAACTGCTCTAAATTTATATGTGTTTTAATTCATTAGCTTAGTGAGTAGCAAGACAACAAGACTGGTTTATATACGCCGCTAGGCCCAATTTAATATAAACACTATTTTTTGACATGTTTTTGACTATTTTTGACATGTGACCAGCGCCAGATGTCCCGTCAGCACGCCGCTCTCCACGCTGACTGAACCCTGCGTCGTTCTCTGCTCGATGAAGTGAGCGACTGGTTCGAATCACATTAACCATTTATCTTCCTCTGTCCCATTGTTTGTACAGAGCAGCTCATCAAACCACGGCAACAATTTTATTTTCACTTCATCAGCAATTGACACAACTGTATTTCAGTGACTGTTACACTGCCGCGACTACAACAGGAGACGAGCAGCAGTGCATCATCACAGTCGACTCAGGAGTAGAAAACGTACGGCTGACACTTCACCGTGACTAACGGCCAACTGTGAAGGAACTCAAACAGCTGCTGCGTTAATTCATGGTTTCCGCCCTGACACTGTTCTATGGTGGATTTGGTTGTAGTTGCCATTTGGCCATTTGTCATTCAGTTGGCGTTGCGGTCCAGGTGCAAAAGTCTTAGGCGGGTGTACATGTTGACAAACTCAACCAACTTTTGTTTTCTTAGTACTTCAAGCTAAATTGTTTGAATAAATTCAAAGGAACTGATTAGTCATCACATGCTAGGTTTGTAGCTAACTGGCAACGTGGAATTCTGGACAAATTGCTAATTCTCTCTCCTCACGCAGCTGATTCAATGTGCCTTAAAAACTGAAGTGACGTGTTTCCACATCAGGTGGCGTTGAATGTTACAGTCCGTTCTTTTGCTAATGAGTCTGTTTTAAACCTGTAGGCTAACATGCTAAAACGTATTCCATGTTGTAATTTGACTGATTTGTAACAGGGAGAAAGAACAGGCTGTGGTTTTGAATCCTTCTTCTGGTTCAGTGGGTTTAATATTGTGTCCACAGGGAGTTTTATAAAATCACAAGTCAAAATAAAAATATTAATGATTTCCATTTCCTCCAGAGTGCAGACGGCTCACCCTGGAAGGTTAGTGCTGACGCAGCAGCCCTGATGAATTCCTCTCTGCTGAATTATGGAGGGAAATTACACAGTGTGTTCATTGTGGCCATAAAACCACTGGCCCTGGTAATGAACCTGTTGATCACAAACACTGTCCTCTGAGGATAAAACCCTTCACTACTGAGACGGAGTCCTGGCCTAGATACTGACTAATGATCCCATCATGCATCATTCAGGGTCAGGAGTATGTTCACACACACAGTACCATAAAAATCAAAACATCTTTGTCACTGTAGGGAATCAGGTATGCTAATTTTACATATTTACATTTATTTCCGGCTGACTTTTGTTGAAGTATAGCTGTTTTTGGCTAATGTGAGGCTATTTTAAACAATGCTCTTAGCTCAGCTAATTGTTCGCTAGCATATGCATTTTTGGTCGATTTTACTCATAGTTACTTTGTCTATCATAGCTATATTTTTGTACTTTATTCTCTTTAAGTCTTTGCTATCTTTTGTGGACACGTCAGCAAGATGTATGTTGTAAATCGACAAGTGTGAAGCTATCAATGAGGAAATCTACAGTTTGTTCATATTTACAGTATCTTCATTCTGCTTTTCTTCAACTCTTGTAATTGACTGTAAGTAATATTCATTATTAGAGAGAAAATATTTGAGTTCTACGGAATGAATAATTTTTTGCAACTATAAATGTTAATAAAAATAGTTTAAGTTTGTTACCAATTTTAATATAAAGTAAAAGACTGATATTAAAGTATATTACAATATTCTTACAATACAATATAACAAGCAATTAATTAAGTCTTCTTTTTTTTCTGGCAGATACTGATTCCACTTCCTGCATTAACACAAAATGTAGCTCATATTTCAGAGACCTATATTCTCTGCTGCTGTGTTTAAAAATGTTGCATTTGGGAGAAATCAGAGGTCGAGGGAATACAGGTTATCGTCATGTAAAATAGGTCATAAAGACGTCCCCTCCCCCATTGTACCCCCATTCCCTCGATCTGCCTTCCTGCATTTTACAGGTTATTCACATATTTTATTACTTTTAAAAGTCAGGAGGGAACAGTCCTTTACTGTTCTTGGTCTGCAGCTTCACGGTGAGAGGACGATGTCCCCGGAGAAACGTTTCTCTTCCTGTGTTCGCTGCCCAACAGTGCGTGAAGGGGAACAACAGTGTAACAGCGTCCCACTCCTCTTGTCCTGGTTGTCTCTCTTGGCTTTGGTCCTTAGAATGTTGTTGCGTCTGCTGCTCTGGTTCTAGTTCTCCGTATCCCTGTTCTTGGATGTTCCTTAGGTCGGTAGGATTTTTTTTCTTCTGTACAACTCTCTGATTGGCTCTTGTTCTTCTGTCACTCCGTGACCAGTGGTTTTGGTCCAACTGAGGCTTGAAACTTCTTCACCAGTGGGGGGGTGGGGAGGGTCTCATGTTCTGATGTCCTTTGTTCCTCATCCTTGGTATAATTTGCAGATCAGGTCAGAACCTTGGTCCCTGGCTGATTGAACTAAAATGAGATTCCATTGGCTAATGTCACTACTCGACCTTTCCCTCTTAACCCCTCGCCCTCCTCAGAATTAATGTTGTGCTCATTGTTAACTCGAGTCAATGAGATTTTCCAGGGTGAACCAAAGGCTCATCATCGTATTAGCTAAGGTCTGGTCTGGTCTCCAGACCCACCGGTGACCCCTACTGTCTAATTAAAGGAGCAGCGTTTTCCTGCCGTTCATGTCACTGGATGTCGACACAACAAGACGTGATAACTCCATCAACCGCAGCCGTATAATCCAAACACAAGGCTGTGTTTAGAGACTGTTACTAATGCCGGGCTAATGAGTTCTGCAGAAGGAAGAGTCAAGGAACCGGCCAAAATAATCCGACACACCTCCACCAATCAACGATCCAGGATGTACACACAAACAAATGCCTTCCAACCAAACACACACATCTGACACCACACATGTACAATGCTAAGGCGTCCAACTTAGCCTTAGCATAAAGGTAGCTTGTTGATAGTAACTTTTATAGCATTGGATTATCACTGTACTGATAAGTTGGTGTTTGTTCAACTCTAGAACTGGGCAGGGATTCAAACCCGTGATCCATGGATAAATAACCTGTTCCTCTTACCAGTGGGTCACAGGCTGCCCCGATAATAACAATGGGTTGTTGAATTGATTAAATGATAGTTCGAGCAGTCAGTTGGTGGCGGCTAGGATGTTTGTTAGGCTAGCTGTTCTTCTGTATTTAACCTGTGAGTTTGCTCGGTTTATTTGATTAGTGGCTTTGCTTGGTTAGCTCCAAGCTAAAAGTCAATACTGTATTTATTTCTGTTTTTTTATGCATTAACCTCTGATGAACCATCGAAGTGTTAGCAGCTTCGTTGTCCTTCATTGTAAAAGGACAGAGACATTAGGTATGTAGTTGTAGTACTCACTCTCTGAATGAGATGGCGACACCAGCCTGACCAGCAGCAGGAGATGAAGAGCTCCCCTGGTGAGAGGCGACAGCCATTTTAGTCTGAGGTCCATGTCGCGTCTGATTGGCAAAAAACTCAGGCAATCATAGAGCGCCACCTGTGAGGAAAAAAGAGGTTATTTTAACCACAGACGAATTTCCTATCATGGTATGAGAAACAGAACAGACGACCAGTAAACGTGAGCTGTCATTCTGCACATAAATCATACTGTTATTGTCTGGTTGGGCAGAAAAACTTTCTTTATTTTTGGAAACTGCTGAGTTTGTGGGAAAATTCACCATCTGTTCAAGAAATGAAATCAGTGCTGAATGAGGGTTAAATTTGGAAGTCGTGATGGAATGTGAAAATAAACTGCAGGAATGTTTTATGGCTTCTATACACTATAATGTGCTGTTTCAAAAATCTTATAAGACCATTGAATCAATATGCAGCGTCATCAGCGTACGTCCTGAAACTGTTCAGGAGCAAAACAGACTTGAAGAATGAAGTCCTCTGAAGAAACATTTCTATTGGCTGATCAGTAAACATAGGTCGTAGCAGCGGTTGCACAGTGAGATAGTCATCCTGAGTTTCTGACAGCACTGGAATTTTATCTTGGCTTTGATCGCAAGATGCTGACAACAGGCGTCCATGAACCTGTGTCGAACTGCAATGTAAAACCATCAAAGGTATCTCCAAGTTTCTCCTACGATGACCCTCCCTTGTCTGGGACAGCCTAAACTCTGCTACTTTATGATATTTGAAAGACAGTCTGGTGGCATGTTTCAGATGTTCCACCAGAGGCAGTAGGTGCTGGAAGACAGACTAGTCCAACTTCAACCTCAACACCTCCTCCTCTGATCACCTCCATTTTGGTTCTAAGAAACAGTGACATTCTTGTGTGAAAGGAGCAGAAATGTAGTAGAGTTGATTAGTGGGCATTGAACCCCTGATGAAACCCAGAGTCAAACCGCAGGAGAAAAAGTAATAAAAATTCCACAGGTGCCTATAAAGGTGTACAGCATGAGGAGGAAGTGCTAAAAGGTACTTCCTCTCCAACCTCCCTCCCTCCCTCACCCTCCCCACCCTACCTTCTCTGCTCACTTGAGAAGAGAAGTGTTGCACGGCAGCTCGTGGATCCAGCTCCACCACCCCCCCCCCCCCCCCCCCTACTCAAAATACAATACTGCAGGAAAGATTAAAACAGTTCAACTACTGCAGTTGTTACAAATACTGCTCCCTACAGGCAGACGTGGCCAATGCCGGATCTTATGAACGACTTTGGCTTGTTGACATGTTGATTGTGGTTTCTATGTGATCAGACCCATAGAAATACCGGACCCTGGAGCACGAGTGGAGAACAGGCTTCACAACTCACAACACACACACACACACACACACACACCACACACACCTTCACATACACAAAGGTTCAGGCTGCTGTTCTTAAAACAGTTCCAAGCCACTTATTCCGTTACAGCCACCACAACGCTGTGGCACTATCTGTAAAAGGGTGAAGTAGACAGGACTGATGAACTAAATCAGAGATTTTAAAGTCTTTACATGGCATCGAGAGCAAAGACCTAACATAAAACAAAGACTGACTTTGCGAAACACAAGTTAGTTCCAGTGTTTGTTCAATCTGAACCCCAGTAACGCAACAATACAGTGCAACAGAAGTAGTTTGGTTTGGTTTTTGGTAACAACCTATGACTAAACTAACCAACTAACTAAAAAGTACAGAAGAACAAAGAGTCCTACAGGATTTAAAGGAGAAAGCTCTTCCAAAACTGCGAAACTCAACTTTTAGGACTTCAGTTCACAAACTGAAAGGAAATTACCTAAGTAACCTGGACAATACGAACAAAAGTGTGTTGAACACAAAAGACGTTGAAAACACAGAAAACACAGGGGTGAATTTTTTTTAACAAACTCTACCAACAAGAAGCTAAAGAGGAACCCGAAATGTGACAGAAGGAAGAGATGGAAACACACGCAGTAACACACACACGTACACACCGAGGTTCAGTGTGAAAGTTGAACAATTAGAGAAAGTGTCAAAAAGGGAGAGTCGTGGAAAAGTTTGGGAACACTTCCCGACGTCTTTGACGAGTCATTAGGTGTGTTGTGACAGGAAGCAGGAAGGAGCTCGACTTCAACTGCGCTCCCCATACCATTATGTCACGCCTGCCGACAGCGACTGCACAGGAGGCTGCAGCGACACTTTCATGTGCACTCAGCGCTCCCACAAATCACAACACATCCTGCTCCGCAACAGCGACTCAAACCCGTCACTTCATGCTGACAGTTTCCTTTACTCCTGCTGCATACATTAGTCACAGAATAGAACATAAGGTTAGCACTGTCGCTAAAACGTGGTAGCGAATGTGACGGTTTCGGTGAGCCTTGGTACCAGGATCAGAAAGTTCCTGTTTCAATCTTATTCTTGATGTACGAGTCACTGACGCAGCAGTTATGGCAGGTGGGGATCAAGACGTGAAAATCTTAAAGTGGTGGAACTGCCAGAGTCAGGATCGGTGGAGCCGGAGGTAAAGTTGCTCCTTAAGTTGTTCAATAATTTAATCAGTTTTTTGTTCCCCCATCACAGCTCTTCGTCAGGGGCCCCTCCCATCACATAATGATGTTGTGACACTGTGTTGATTCACTTAACAGATGTAAACTGTGCAACTCAAAGGTTTTCATGTCAAAGTTTCACTGCCAGCAGGGGTCGCTCATCACGGATTCACCTCGTCTGCGTCTGCCAATTAAAAAGCTTTTCCATGAAGTAGAATCTACAGCATATTCATGCCCCCCCCCCCCCCATGAATACTGCTGAGTCAGCCATTTATTCTGGCAGATAATTAATAACGTATCTGACGGCTGGGCTTGCGTTGGATTGAGGAGAGCCGATGTTAAAGTCATCAGTTCCACTTGTGCTGCTCCTGCTGTGTCACATCAGACGCTCGATGTTGAACCGCTGTAGTGTCAGAGACTGAGGAGTAAGACTCAGAGGCTTTGGATCAGACTGATAGAAGAAAACAGGAACTGGAAAAACAATTATACATGTATCAAGGTATCGTCAAAAGTTCCACAGGCCGCCAGGCAAAAGGTTAAAATCTTGACGTTCCCCTGTACTGTATGTCATCACGACTCTTGGAGGGTTTCAGTACCAATCAGTTTTGTGAAAACACCTGGGACGGGTGTCAGTGCTGCATCTACTGGGAGAACATGAGGTCAACAAAGAACAAAGTTGAACCTCCCACAGATAATCTGATGTTTTAGATGCTGACTGTTTTCTACAAACAAACGAATGACTAAAGTGGACGAGTCATAACTTCAGCTGACCTGAATGTGCCGAACCTGAAGGATTTAGGTTGAATCCAAGCCCCTTTAACTCTACCCTGTCTAAACAACATATTCTATAAACAACAACCAAGAAAATACCATACAATAGTTTGACGGTCCACCGGGACCACCGACAGAGACAACAACGATTCTCACTCATGTTCACGGCTACGGTCAGTTCAGTGTCCACTGAACCAAATCCGTCTCAAGAAGCTCTGTCTGTGGCCCAAGAAAACAAGTCTGAACTCAAACGGCAAAGGTTCACTGACACTGGCTGCAGAAGAACAGGCTCTGAGATCAGTACCAGCTGAGGTCTCCAGCCACAGACAGGACCGCAGGTGCAGGCAGCGTGTAATAGCAGGATGTGAGCAGGAAGAGTGTACAGGAAGAACCTTAATCAGGTAGAACATCTGCGCTGGCTACGACCTCAGAGGAACAAGGTGGGACCAGAACACACCTCCTGAGGGGGTCCACATGATTAAACACGGGCTCTGCAGGACTTTAAAGTACAGACCAACAAGTCATGCTGGGTAATTATTTTAGTTTTTTCTTAATGGACCAATAGAACAGGCCGAACCAGGAGAATTGTCAAGGAGTGTGTGTGTGTGTGTGTGTGTGGCCACAGTCGTTCTGCTGTTGGCTGTGAACCAACAAACAGGGGTGAAGGTGAGGAATGACTACTCACTGCACTTTCTCTGCAGAAGTAGACCAGTTAACCACCCCACTCCAGTCCAGCCCAGTCGTTGTAGTCCACACTCCACTCTACACTGCACTCAGTTGTTTTTATGGACAGTAAATACAAGTATATTATAGTCTTTTACGGCTCCCACAGCAGTATCAGTACCAGCGACTAATTAAATACAGTACAAGCAACAAGTTCATCTTCCAAAGAAATCACTTAGTTTTTATTGTTGGTTGTAGAAGCCGGAGTCTGTCATTTAAATCAATAGACGCAGCAGTGAAACAACACTCGGAAGAAGAACTGCGCAGCTCACATATGCTACTGTAAACCAGGGATTCTCAAACACTGCACCGTGGCCCAGTGGTGTGCCGTAACAGATCATCAGATGTGCCCAGGAGATAGGGGTGTAAGAAAATATCATACATTGAAATTTCCTTTCACAATATGGTATTAATATTCTCCATCAATGTATGGATTTTTTTATCACCGATTCCCAATCAAATATTTCTGGTGTTGGTTCATTTTTTTTCTTCTCTAGTGATTCCAAATGTAGATCCCTCTGTTCCAATGTCAGTGACCTGATGTGAAGCTGGAACAGCATTGTGTCTTTACTATGATGACAGTTTTTTAACTTTATTGACTGGAACAGCAGCCGTAAATCCCAATGACTCAAAACCCAATATTCAAAGAACTGGAGTTTATTGCTATTGAAATGTTTTGAACTGTGGGAGAACGGCTACAAACACCCTGTAGTATTCAGAGTGATACGGTACAGTGGAGAGGCACATCATCCTTCTGCTGCCGAGTGATTTCAAATTCCAAACCAACATTAGCAGAAATATTTGTTTTGCAGGCCGTCTGTCTTTGTGGAGACTGTCAGGAGGGTTGACACACGTTAGAAACTCCAGGAAAAACCTCAGGCGTAAAAAGCTACACTGCACAAAAGGTGTTTCTTCATCCGTCTCTGCCCTGGACGGTCACTTTAGGACTTTATAAAAGTTCAGCTATTCATCCATTCACTCCCATTCATGCACAGCATCAGCATTCATTTCTTTTTTTTTTCCATCGTCTAATAGAAAAAACGTTGGATT